ACATGATGTAATAACGTAAAATCAAGGGCCCAATGAAAAAAAAAAAAAAAAAAAAAAACGGCGTTCCCCTTTAAGGTTCCAGTCTGTTACTATTATAGTACTGTGTTAGTAGTGTTTGTAGTCTTTAGACTTCTTCACATTTAGTATATATTCTTGGGATTTGATTTGTGACCAAGAGTAGCATAAAACAATATCTGTTTTACAAATGTTTCCAACATTTGGAGAATGTATTATAATGTAAACTTTTTTACAATTTCACAGAATGAGGTAAAAATGTGTGTAGGTGGAGAGAAAAAAATGAAATCGAAGAGAAGCAACAGTTGTCTGATTGATTTGGAAAGGGCTTGAAGACGCTCTTCAGACTATTTGAAATCCATCATTCTGCAGAGAGAAACTTTGACAAGTGACGAACCTTTAGGACAGAAGCTCATATCTAAGATCATTTCTAAGCTCAGACCCTGCAGAGCTCAGCAATAATAGAAAAAAGAGCTCAGATGTTATGGGCCTCATTTAAAATGTTATCATGGGGATTCATGAAACAATAACAAAAAGACTGAACATGTATTAAAAACATTTTAAGGAGTTGAAAGAAAAAGCTTGTTTGCTCTAAGTCAGGGGTCACCAACCTTTTTTAGGGCTGAGGGCCACTTCAAGGGTGCCGAGACTTAGGAAGGTCAACCATTACTGACCCATGAACTGCAAGGGTTAGCCTTAGCTTAAACTTTGTTCATTATCAACATATTTTTATTATTTCTGTTAATTTCTAAGTTTATTTAGACATTGTCATTTTGAAATCTCTATAAATTATTAAAAAGAAGAGCAACAGAATAAAATAAAATTTCAAACTTAGCCCACTGGTGGGTTGTTCTTTATATAGAAGACTCTGAGGGCCCCCCATGTGGTCCTTGAGGGCACCTTGGTGCCCACGGGCACCGTGTTGGTGACCCCTGCTCTAAATTGTGGGCTTGCTTTTTGCAGAGTTGTATCTGTGTGAATAAAACAAGACATCTGTAGCATTGTCCTCCAGGGAGATGTTTGGCCATAATGCACTCAATCATATTTGGAAAAAATCATGCACTCAATCATATTTGGAAAAAATCAAACACAGCATACCAGCACAACCCCCACATCTACTGTTAAGCATGGAGGTGGAGGGGTGATGGTTTGGGCTTGTTTTGCATTCGAAGGACTTTGCATTCATCAGACTCTAGGAATCTCCTGGAAACCAAAGCGTCTTTAAGTCAAATGTGAGAACTAGATGATCATGTAGTTCAATCATTGTTCCAAGATGATCATCAACTGGAAAATGTTTAAAAAACCAGCAGCAAACCCACATCAGGAAGTCCAAAAAAACCCCAAAAGAATCAAGGTGGTAAAATGGTCCAGTTAAAGTCCAGACCTTAACCTTATTTAAAGCTAACCTGACTCCGCCAGATGGATTTGCTCCGCATATCCATCTGGAAACCTTTCGTTGAAGTAATT